CTCAAGAATTAACCAAGTGTTTAGTTAAAATTCATTCCGAAATGCCATTACCTAAACCTATAACTAAGCTCACAACTATGAAACTAAAGCAACTCATCAAGCATTCACCACACAATTACATACTAGGTCAATACAAGATATTCACCAATTGAAATCATATATTACAATGCAACAACACATGGTGGATGAAATTCCAACAGTAAAAAGGTCTTGAAAATCAAGCCCACAATCTTGTTTCAACACTAACAATTACAACCAACCATGAAACTAAAGTCAAATTGAACTACAACCAATAATAGTCATAGTATTCTAATGAAATTGAAATAAGATAAAGAAATAGTTGAGCTTAGCTAAGTGAAGACTTCAAAGCTCCTTTTCCATCAACTCTCCCCTAGTATTCCATGGAGAATCTAGCTAAAAAAATCAAGAACACTTTGCATCCTCCAAGAACACATAGTGACTGTGGCATGTGCTCCATGAACTTGATTGATTAAGCTTTAAATTTCTTTCTAATTGCTCGGGGTTGGTTTAGCCAATGGAGAGAAGAAGAATAGTGGAAGAGTCATTGAAGTTTGATAGATGGATGAAGAGTATGGGTGCTGGAAAAATGGAGAAAGTAGAGAACATGAAGAACGCTATGAACTAGAGAAAGAAAATAAAGAAGATGAATGAGATGGATTGTGAATCTGAAATGTGGGCTGTGAGGAATGAATAATGGTATTTCCCATTAGCTGAAGCTCAATTAAAAAATAAGAAAAGAAAAGAAAAATAAAATGGGAGCCTTGTCACACTTGCAATGTGGCACCCTCTTATTAGTTTGTAGATAATTTCAATGTGTGTACAATTAATCCTATGCATCATCCATATTTTAAACTGATCTAAACCACCCAATGCAGCACAAAACACGCCATTTGCTTCAACTTTGACCACAAGGAGTGTTGACTTCAATTGCCTAATTGATGCACAAGTCACATGCCACCTATGACACGTAAATCACATAATTCAATTAAATAACGTGTGACATTAAAAAAATTTAATTAAAGTCCAGAATTAAATTTATAATTAGAAGGAAAAATTTATTAAAATAACCAAGTTCCAGGCTACACAAAATTATATAAAAATTTTTATATAAAAGCAAACCAAAAACTAGGTCAAATTATACACTTAAGAAAATGTTGACTTTTTATTTAATTACTCCTAAACTAAAATAAATTTAAAAAATATAATTTAATCACTCATCTTCTAGACATAAAATTTACTTTTTTAATTTTTCTTATACATTTTCTCAATAGTTTATCTTTAGATTAAAATACCCCTAGTGCACAAAACCTAGATACTTAGGCAATTTTTCAATTCTAATCCGATGTCTGCACTTTAAGATAATAAAAAATTAATAAAATGGTTTAAATTGACAAATAAAATTTTTTAATAAATGTGTTCTATCACTAGGGTGAAGGGTAGTATATTTATTAAGGGTATTCTTTTAAAAAAATCACTAATTACACTTTTAAAAATGAAAAATACCTTATATTTTTGAATATTTAACCACAAAAAATATCTCATATTTTTTAATGGAGGGAGTATGATGCTTTATTAATAAACCTTATTAATTACACTCTAAAGTATCTTAAATTGTCTAAAAATATTGAATGAAGGGAGTATGTGCTATTGTTCTCTTTTCATTTTTAAATTATAAGAAAATTTTAATTAACTCACACAATTTAAAAAAGTAGTTAATTCACATATGAGGTTGTTATCGGTAATAATGGTCTCAAATTAGTTTGGGCTGGAGGTAGTAATAACCCTAGGGTTTTCGAGATACTAAGTGATAGAATAGAAAAAGTAGTTAATCTTAAAATTATATTTGAAGTTGAAAATTTTGGACAAAGATGTTCTTATGATGATTTGGTTTCTAATTTAATGATAATATCATTTAATGAAAGACATTATTTTATGAAAGAAAATATGTCATAAATATTTCTTTAAAATTATTATTTTGTTTATAGAAAAATTAACCATATAAAAGTTTTGCTTGTTGTTGGCCTGGTTTCTAGTGTGGAGCATTTTGCCCTTTAGTGATTGCTAGGCATGCCACAGGAGTAAATCCTCAATGTGAGAAATGTATCAAACGATGGTGAGTTTCCAACGTCCTTTACTACAATTTCTTTAGAGTGTTAAAGCCAATTGAGAGATTAAAAGTACACAATATCGAATGGAAAACATAATTGTATTATTGAAAAGGAATCCTAATGGTGCTTTAGAGATCGGAGGAAAAGCAAAGTAAATTTCCTAGAAGGTCTAGATTGGAGTTGTTCAGGGTCGCTTTAGGTGAAGTTGGTGTGACACTTGGTCAGTCTGAGGTTGTTAAGAGCAAGTTGATTTGAGGTTGACTGTTGAAGTGTTCAAGAGAGCTTTTTAGTTATGCACTTGTTGTCTTTTATAGAGAACGGCAATAATGTGATCCTTTGAATTTGAATTTTACCGCCAAAGGGATCAATAACTGTTCACATTGATATGAGCACTATGGGTGCACTTCATTCAGGAAGAGTGGTGAGGTGAGTGCTCTTAGTTTCTTAAGAAGTGGGATGAGTGGTCTTGGAGCTGGTTGCCACTCCATCAAAATGTGGCATTCCATTTAAATGCTTCCAGGACCTATTCTTGTTGGTTTGCTATGAGTATTTTTCTTATTGGGCCTTAATGGATTTCACTATGGTTTGTAAAACTAGATTGGATTGGCTGTTTAGATCAGTGAATTGGAAAAATAGTAATGTCTCCAGTCCAGTTTTGTGATTTCATTGGGAGCCAATTAACCTAGGTAACTCAGGATTAATTTGGATTATCAAACCATTCAACTCCACAGGTCAGGTAGGTTGGGTGGGTGGGTTACTTTTTTCAACAAATGCCTTTTTGATGTGTCACGAACAAAAGGAAGAAGCTTAGGCTCAAATAAAACAACCTTCACTTCTTTGCCTCACTCTTGGACAAAGAAGAAAGAAGATAACAAAAGAAGAAAGAACATGAGACAAAAATGAGCAATCCTTCAAACCTTGTTTTTAGTTTTTAGTTTTTTTGGCTTTTGCACTTTTATTTCAACCATGATGGCTTGAATTTGGGAAGGAGAAAAGTAGATGGAAGAATAAGAGATGAATGTGTGAAGAGCTCAGAAGTGCTGTCGAAAATTCTCAGTTTCAATTGAGAAAATGATTAGTTGAAGAAAGATGAGAAGGGCAAAAAGATGAGAAGCTCCTAGCTTGTAAAACTATGGCTTTGACATGATAGGATACCTTGGCAAGCTTAGGATAGGATAGATAGCTATAATTTCAGGTAAAAGGAAAAAAAGGAAAAAAATTCAAATTTTAAATGTTAATAAAACAACAAAGTTATATATTTTTCATGGGAATAGAAAAAATTATATCCATTCAACATCTTACCTTTAGAATTCGTTACTTTATGTATGTTTATTCACAGTTTCTTACAATATTAAAATCATCAGTCTATTAAAGAATTTAATTAAATAAATTTTAAAATATAGTTTTATTTATTATGGAAAGGATTACTCTTGGGTTGACCTCTGGCCGGTTGAACCCCAAACCCCTAACTTTGACCTTGATTGATTTAATAATCAATTTGATTTTCAATTACTTAAATTTTACTTTTAGGCCCAATGCATGGATTTCGACCCGAACATATGTTTGAAAATGGAAAAGTATTAGTTTACATTTTCAATTCTCTGTGACCCAAAACCAGTGGGAACTGCAATATTGTTCAAAGATGGCCTTGCAAAATTGCTTTATCACGTTTTCTATATATGATATTTGGTCAGAGCCCAATTATATTATTTGGAATATTGTGCACAAGTGTGCCATACATATTTAAGCAATATTTAATGAAATGATGTTATTTTTTGAGTTCTTGTTTGTAATTATTGGGGCATATTTTTTTTAATAATTTTCTTGGTCTTTTTTATTATTTTTTGTTTAACTAATGATCAAAGTTAACTTTTATTAACAATAGAGGCTATATTGCACTATTTTTAAAAATTTAAGAGAAACATTACACAAAAAATAAATTTAGGGTCTCAAGTGCTTCTTGACCTATAATTTATGGGCCAAATTGCCCTTTAACCCAACTTAAAATAAAATGATGTTTGTGGGTATTGTTTAATGAGATATTGTATAATACTAAGGAATGCTTGATTTAATTGGTTGAAAAAATTGAATCATTTTATTTTAAGATCTCAAGTTTGAGCCTTAATTAAACTATGCCCTCAGGTTTTCAGAATACCTAGCATTGGAATAATAATAATAATAATAAACTGTGCAGCAAGGAAACATCCATTTCTTAATTAAGATGCCAATACCAAGATTATCAAAAGAAAAAAAAAAAGACAGCTAATCCCACGTGAGATTATAAAAGCGAAAAGTCATAAGATCAATCAGATCATAGTTTTAGTTTGACCATCCAACAATTGCGTGCCACACACGTTGAGTACAAGATTCAAACTCACACCTATATCGTTCAGGCGTATATAGTTGACCTACAATAACATTTATTTTCAAACAACTTGTCAGCGATTAATGAATAGATTAGTACCATTGAAAATAGAGGAAAAGAATAAATGAGCAAGAACACCAATATAACTCTTGCCCATTTATTTTCTCTTCTATTTTGAATAGTCACTGGCCTCATTTTTAACACAACTATATATGTGTGTGTGTATGATATTCAGTATAATCAAGTTAAATTTAAGAATTGTTATATGAATAATTAGATTGTGATGAATTATATTATAATTTTTTTCATCTACAAAAATTTAGACCTCTAACTTTATTTAAGTAAAACTCAAGTCTCTACCATTCAATTCAACTACCATTAAATTAAATTTAATATAATAATATAATGTCACAGATCTTGCTGGGAAATTAAGCTAACCCCTTAAACAACGATTGGTATGCTAATATTATTTTTCCTTATAAAAGGGATCATGGAAGTTGAAAAGTCTTGCAAGAGAGAGATACTCCATTGGGAGTTACAGGAAAATGAAGAGGCTGTTAGGTTTTGTTGTGTTGTTGGTAGTGGGTATAAGCAATAGGATCAATGGTGAAGTTTCAGGGCGTAGCTGGAGTGAGATTGACAAAATTAACAGTAAAGGGCCATATATTGGCATAGTGGTGCCAAATGCTTTTGAGATGAATCCTCTTCTTCAATCATCTAGCTTTCAGGCTGATCCCACCTTGCCTTTCTTTGATTTTGCAGGCAAGTTTGTGTTTGTGATCTTTATGTTTCATTCCTTTTCTTCTTCTTCTTCTTCTTCTTTCTTGTTCTTAGTTTGGTGTTTCATTTGCAGGAAGACGATTTCGCATAGGGGAGTTGGAAAAGAAGAGAGTTATAATTGTTATGACCGGATTGAGCATGGTATGGGAACCTATGTCTTTGCTATGAATTGTGCATCATATAATTTGTTTCATTTTTTTTATTAACCAAACTATGAGTTCATTTGAAGTCGAGGAAGATAGTGTTTCAAGATTCAAGCTAGACAATTAGATTATCATCTACTAGATTCGCTAACGGTATGGTTTGAATTAAAAAATTGTATTCATAGTTGAGTCATATTTGATCATAGTCAAGCCACTATGGATGTAGAACTCAAAACGGTTTTGAAAACATAAAATTGGGTTGGTCTTAACCTGATATAAAAAGTGTTAAAAATCTTGAAAAAATGAGAAGAATTCAAAACTTGAATCATTCAAAGAGCCAACTTTATTTTTGGGCCTTTTACATGTAGATAATATGATTTGATATTATTTCTTAAGAAGATTGTGTGACAACTATAGAGTAAGTGTAGATACTTTTAAACTTGATTCTCCTTGGCTGAACAATGATGCACATATATTTGATAAATATAAAATTATAACTTATATTATTATTGTATTGACAACAAGATATAATATGGATTCAACCATTTTGTGTGGTGCAGTTAAATGCAGGATTTGCAACTCAGTTGTTGGTGACACTGTTCAAAGTGAAAGGGGTACTTCATTATGGGATTGCAGGAAATGCAAATCCAGGCCTACAAATTGGAGATGTTACCATTCCACAATTTTGGGCTCATACAGGACTTTGGAACTGGCAGGTACTCAGAACAAATTTACATTTAATATCCGTTATATTTCTTTACTAAATTAGAATAAAATTATATATAATTTTTTGAATTTGAAATAATTTTTAAAATCAATTAATACAAGCATCTCATATATAATTTAATTTATAAAAATTTCTCTTTATTTTATACAAATCTTTTCCAAAATAAAGAGATCATTTCAGAATTTTTTCATGTATTTCCAAAATACACACATTATTTCCTTGAAAACAGAAATAAAATTTTATAATTTTCAGTAGAAGAGAAAAAATGTCTAGACTTTGAACCGCAGTAGAGATCAATTTATTACAAAAAAAAGATAGGCATGATCTTTGTAATTTAATTAATTTCTTAAAAGAGAGATCTATAAGATTTTTGGAAACTTCAAAAACAGCATAATTGAGTTTTACTTATAAGTTCACCAGATATCTTAGACCTATCTCGCTCTGCAACTAGAAGATTTAATGAGGTCGAGCTATATTAATGAACCGGGAAGTGAATACTGTACTATTTTATCAAAAATCTGGTCAGTCCAGGAGGTTCTTGCTCTGATGAGCACAAAAACTGCATCCTCTTAACATTGTAAATGTTTGTGCCTTCTAAACCAAAAGACATAGTGAAACGATGCCGTATTGATTTGACAGAGATTTGGAGATGGTCCTGAGGATGAGCTAGCTTTGGAAGTAAATGGAGACTACACCAGAAAATTTGGGTATCTCAAGTTCTCTAATTTCAATAACTACACAAAGTCAGTGCCAAATCTGTTGAACAATGTTTGGTACCAACCAGAGGAAGTTTTCCCAGTCAACAACATCCCAGAAGTGAGGCAGCATGCTTTCTGGGTTCCTGTGGACAAAACCTACTTCAACATCGCAACAAAACTCAAGGTCATTTCATCTAACTTTGTCCAATTTGATTTTCCAATGCCTATTTTCAAATTGTGCTAAGAAAGTGACTTATTGATTATAAAGTTTTTAAAAACTAAATGTTATTGTGTTCGATTACATTGATAAAAAAATATTTTTTAATTACTTTTTTAACCTTATTAGACGCAAACACCTATAAAAAGAATAATTTACTTTCCATTTAGGTGGGATAAAAAGATTGAGTTATTGTTTTTATCTCTAACATCTAGTTATTTTGAAATGTTACTTCAACATGTAAACAAACATTTTAAAATTTCTCAATTATTTAGAAACTGATTCTGTTTTAAAAGAACTACAATGAACTTTAACCCCACCTAACAACATGTTGTAGCATTAATTAAAAAAATAATTACATATATAATTACTCAAGAGTAATAGATAGAGTCTTTCTGGATTACATGAGCTGGGTTAAAGTTCATTTTATAGAGTTTTTAATTTTTTTTAAGTGTATTTGTTTTTTGTCCCACAGAATGTGAAATTAGGTGGCTGTGTGAACACAACTTGCTTACCCAGAGACCCTAAAGTGGTGAGAGTGAATAGAGGGGTTAGCAGTGATGTATTTGTTGATAACAGAGCTTACAGAGAATTCTTGAGCTCCAAATTTCATGCCACACCAATTGACATGGAAAGTGCAGCTGTTGCTCTGACATGTCTTCAGTGCAAAACTCCTTTCATTGCCATTAGAGCTTTGTCTGATTTAGCAGGTGGAGGTTCTTCACTCTCCAATGAAGCTTCTCTCTTTGCATCTTTAGCATCTCAGAATGCTGTCATTGTTGTTATCAGATTCATCTCCTTGTTGAGCTCATCATAGCTTTTTTGTTGATCTGTTCGGACATGGGAAATTTGAAAAGAAATAAAAAAAAATTGTAAATTTTCCATGGGATCAGGAGTGATTGTTATGTGCGTGCATGTGTGACTATGTATGTTATGTTGCACATTTTGCTACTTGCCCTTGGCATTTGGTTCTTGAGTTGCTATATGAGGTAAATTTTCAAAACAATGATTAGAAAAGGGGGGAAAAAAATTCTTGCTAATGGGTATGATGTAAAATTAAATTATTACTTGGCAGGTGCACGAATACAATCAATTAGTCCATTTTTCTAGGGGAAAAGAAACTGAGAACAAGTTTAGTAGAAAACAAAAGTTTGATCAGTCCAGTAAAGAACCAAGCATCTTATAGTGGGTTCATTCAAAACAAAAATGTTCAGCCTTGTTCTCAACTAAGTCCCACAATTAGAAAAAATAATCTCCACATCCCAACTGGAGAAGATCAAATTCTTCACTTCTATAACATCTGAACTTAAAGGGCGCTCAAAGACACCACCTGTCTTAAGCAAATTAATAACTTCCATCAAATCCACATGACATCTAATCTTATCCGTGTGGTATTGTTGACACAACATCAAACTTGTATTAAGAGAGAAAAGTTCAGCAGCTGTGGGGGAAATAGTGCAGTCTTCTCTGAAAATCCAGTACCCAATTGACTCGAGTATCCTTGAACACTCCCCCACAAGTGTAGCCCTGTTGGTCTACAGAACCATTCACATCCAATCTAAAATATCTTGTTTGAGGTGGTCTCCATCTGATTTCTATCTCTTCAACACCCTAAAAGATCCTATATTTGGAGCTTCCCATTTTGCACTGCTTCAGAAAGTTGGTTCAGGATGCTATGATAGATCTCAACAGCTTCGAATTTCTTTCCCTCCATTACACCTTTGTATCTATTTTTCTATAAGAGCCAACAAGCAGTGCAAACGGTACTTTGCCACCCCTGGTTTGAATTTGTATTTAAACCTATATTATTTTGAAGCATTTGTCCTCAACCAAACTTGCAAATCAGAAGGAAAAAAAAAAAGATTGGACATGTGTAGGGTTAGTAACATAAATTCAAACTTGTTTTGCAACCTCACAATCACCGTGTGAAGAATTGTCTTTGTTAAATATAGTAACACACCCAAAAGGGGGTAAATTAGGTGTTAATCAAATTTTCTACACTTCAAAACTTTTTCAATAAAATAGAGTGTAAGTGTGTGTTTGAGTAAATTTAAGTATTAAACTTTGTTTACAAGAATGCTATAGTTGAATTTTACAAACACAAAGTATGTAAGAGTATTTAAAATCAATTTACAAGTTTTGAGCAAGAGCTTGTAATATGTCAAGTTCTGTTTTAACACAAAAAAATAGCATAAATAGTGGCTGCTGAAAATGTAAATAGATAAGGAATAGAGAATGTGCAAAAACAGAGATTTATCCTTACTTAGCTTCACCCTTGAGCCTACATTTAGTCCCCAAACAAATCAGTTGAGATTTCTCCACTATAATCTTTAAGTTTGATTTGGAAACTTGTCAGCCGCCACAACCCTCACTATCATAGTGAGCTTGTCACTTCAAGAGAACAACCTCTCTTGAATTACAAGGAAAATCTATCACTCACTTTTACAATGATTATTTTAGACAAGTAAATTACTCAATAGAAACTTTGTCTAAGAATTAAGATGAGTACAATGAATAACTTATAATCAAATGATAAAGATATTGAAGATATTAGCTCATGAACATTGTTTTTCATATAATGATAGTAGAAAGAATGTAAATCTCATAACTGAATAATTTCAAAATTTAATCTCTTGTTAAAATAAGTTTGAAGTGTTATAATTATAATCCATAGAGTGAAATAGCTATTGGAGACATAATATAGCTGTTTAGAGCTGTTGGGTAGAGTATGGAAGGAGTTTTATGTGGAAAGCACCATTTTCTAAAAGCAAGATCATTTAATGTGTGATAAACCTCTAAAACTTGTGAGAATAAGTCTAAAACTTTCTTGTCTTAGGTGAGTATAAGCAAGTTTCTCTCTATAACTCTAAAACTCATGTTGATGCTTTTTAGAACTTGCACATTTGAGTCAAGTAGAAGCACAAGCTTCTTTTGACCCCTACAACTAGCATGGATGCTTTCTACAATTCATGAATATAGGTCAAACAAGGTTTTAAAAAATAAGATTTAGGATTTTCATGAAGTGCTCAAGTGTTCTAGGCTTTCATTAGGCATACTTGAGTTTTAGATTGAAACTTGCAAGTATGAGACTGAAACTCGTGTGTATGAGATTGAATCTCACAAGGATAGGATGGTTCGGTCTCAAATTGCTTTGATTTTAATTCAAACACTATGAGTATAAAATAAAGGTTTCTAGGCAAAAGATATTATACCTATTAAATCTAAGGCTATGATACATCAAAGCTTGTATACATGTCTTCATTCTTTTTAAACTCTTCTTAGATCACCCTTCTCTTTAATGTTCCTCCATCTTGAGTGTAGCATGCTAATGATAACTTCATTTCTTCTTCTTCATGCTTACTCTCATTTATACTTTGGACAACCTTTAATAATATGTCATGAACAAAGTGGTTAGTGCAAGTATCAATATGCATGAGAATAAATATATAAGTTATTATGTTATGCATATGAAAAGTCTTATATTTAACATAAAGTGGTTAGTCCAAGTATCAATATTTATGAGAATAAATATGTAAGTTATCATGTGATTGATATGAAAAGTCTTATCTTTAGCATATATCCAATTTATGAGAAATAATAATTTGAATACTCTTGGATATATAATCATTTTAAGATAAAGAAAAATATGATTTAGTAAAGTATAAATAACTTCTATATATAGACATAAATTATTTTTTCAAATCTCATATAATATGGAACAATATAAGTAAAAAAAATTTTAAAAAACTTGTTCCATGATTATAATTAACTACTATATTTGAAGACAATAATGCATGTATTTAACTAATATATATTTATCATCATCAAAACTTAAACTAAATATAATATTATAAGTCATTATGTTTAACTGTCTCCTCACTATTTCACTCAAAAGAGTAGTTTTCAATCATTGAAAGTCATTTCTTAGTTCTAATTGAGTTAGTTGGAAGTCTCTCATGAAGAACTTGCCAAAAAAAGTGTTCAATTTTTCATGGATAGCACACAACCACAATTTCCTCCATGTAGTACTACTAAAAAAAGAGTTTATATAGTGCCTTATAGTAAGCGTTTACTTAAAAAACCTCTATAGTTAATGCAGGATTGAGATTAAAAGACTATAGTGGTTATTTAATATAACCGCTATATAGTCTTGTTATTTTTAAATTTTTTTTTCAAGGAACTATACAGTTGTTATTTGAAATAAGTGCTATATAGTATTCTCATTTTAATATATCTAAAAGGTTTTAAAAGAAATTAAATATATGGCACATGGATTAATGATGTCATTGTCCCTCAGCCATTGAACTTATTTTAACCTAACGTCTCTCGTTATCCTTCACTCTCTCTCTCTCTCTCTCTCTCTCGCTCACACACAATTTCCTCACCCCAATTGTTCCCATTCAAGTAGTCTTGTTAAGCACATACTTTCTCTCACATATACTCAACCACTTCCCGTCACTTGCTCTCTTTCTCAACAATATTTCTGTTGAAAATTGTACCCTAGGACCAGTCATTGTACTATGCACATTGTTATTTAATGAATTTCTCTTTTGTTATCATAACAATTACATGTTCAATATGATAACTGTATCTCTGGACAAACTATAGTGATTGTCTTAAATGTCCCTAGTTGATCATCTTTGAGGGATCATAGATGAAATAAGACTAGTATGACTTTGATTAATTATAAAGATACAAATTAAAGTCATAGGCACTTGAAAGAGTGCAAGGTGTTAGACCAACCCGCTATGAGAAAGCTGCATGGTACAAGTCATAAGCTTATCTCATACGTAACTATATCACTAAGCCCTTTAACTTGAGATTATCATGGATTCTTACATGATGACCATTAAACTTTGACCTAATCAAAAGTCACCTTTAACCAAGTGATCATAAAGGTTATAATTGAGTTTAGTGATATTCATGCAGAGGAATATAAGTAGTCAAGATGAAATTTGTCCTTCACATTAAGTGAGAGATATTACTGTGCCCATCGATGAGTATGACTGAGAAAATGTATGGCCATACTACAATGGAAAGGGTTTTTCCATTGCTACTGTTAGTCTACTCAGAGATTGAGAAAGTAATAGTCAGGTAAAAGAGAATGACAATTTCATGTCTCATGCTTGATTGACATATTACATGACAAAAAGGATGTGATATGGTTGCATGATATGTTATATCAGATCATCAATTCCCATGTGAATTGTGTAGTTGCAATGTCTTGCTAGAGGCCACTTGTGACTTGTGGGCTAATAGTATAATTAGCCTACTATCAATTTTATATGGGCTTACAAGGTCGCATATAATAATAGCCCAACTCAAACTATAATGTCCAAGTTCATTGAATCTGGAATATGTCTAGATTCAATGAATGTAATATAGGGTGAATGAATTATTATATATATATATATATATATTTGAATATTTATTTGATAAATATATATATATATATTTATATAAAATATAAAATTTAAAATATAATTATATATACATTCGATATATATATTCGTATATATAATATAATATGTATATGTGATATATATTATATTATAATATATTATATTAGTTTTAAATTTAATTTTATATGATATATTAAATTTAATAACTAATATGATATGAGAGAATATCATATCAATTTTATAATTTAAATTTATAAGATAAATTTAAATTAGATATGATATTATGGATTAAATTTATGAAATAAATTTAATTAAATTTTCGTAGGCTTCTAAGTAAAAGACAAAAAACCCTTATCTATATACTAGATATCGATAGGGACGTCCTTTATGAAGGATGAGAGAGTTAGAAAAGTTCTAACGAAAAAAAACACTCTGAGAAACACGAAACACCCTATAGAAAGGAAAATTAACGTTTAAAAAAGAATGGACGTTGAGAGTGTTAGCACACCGTTGGAGTTAGAGAGCTATTCGTGTGGATACCAGTAGAGGAAGCAAATCTATGTTGTCAGCTCTTGAGATCCAAATTCTTGAAGAGAATGTGCGC